GCTGAGAGGCCAGCAAGTCAGGCGGGGAACATTGGAGTCTGCCATCACTGGAGCAAGCAAGTCTCCCTGTTCGCTTCAGTGCATGGCTGCCGGCCGCCATCTTGGCTGACAGTTAATTTGCATAAGGATATGCTGATTAGCCAATGGAAGGGTAGCGGTCGTATGCTAATTACCATGTTTCTCTTTTATTAGTGTAGATGACCCCAAAGTGCAAAAGCAGTGATGGTGCAATTCAGAAGTGCTAGAGAAGCCATAAACTTTATCATAGGTTGTATGTATAGGAAAAAAGTCCATATAGAGGTTGGTACTATCTGTAGCTTGGGAAGGAACCACTGTATTCCATAAGGTCTCTTTAAACAGAAACACACAACAAGCTTATTTGTTGATAAGTTGACAAAAATGTTGACTAGAGGCTCACTAAAACCTTCTATTTCCACTAGGAGCAATGGTTCAGCATTAACGGTGAATTTAACAGAACTACCACAAAAAACAAGAACTGACTATACACATCTCCTATTACCACCTAATATTATAAAAGTATCTCCTTGTTTAGAAGGTAAAACTCCTGCCCTAACTGGTTTGGGTCAGTGGATAGAGCATCGGCCTGCGGACTGAAAGCTAAGAACATAGTAGGTAGCAGGTCCTCTGTTCTCCTGAGACTTTTATTTTTTTATAATGAATTAGTAAATTTTTTATCATATAATACATCCATATATAGTCTATTTTCTTTATAGAAGACAACAATAAATGAAAGACAAAAGGGGGAAAATGGCAGCAGAGAAAAATGTTTTAGTATGACTACTATTTGATACTCTTCAATGCACTACAGCAGGGGTCCTCAAACTACGGCCTGCGGGCCACATGCAAATACAAATATTGTATTTGTTCCCGTTTTGTTTTTTTACTTCAAAATAAGATATGTGCAGTGTGCATAGGAATTTGTTCATAGTTTTTTTTTTAAACTATAGTCCAGCCCTCCAACGGTCTGAGGGACAGTGAACTGGCCCCCTATTTAAAAAGTTTGAGGACCCCTGGTGTAACTCCTAAAGGGCAAAAAAATTTTTTAACTTACTTTTTTTTTTTTAACTACCTTATCTCTAAGGTTAGAACAGTGCATTAGCACTAAGCAGAAATCTAAAAATCCTTGAATGAACAATAACAAGTAAAGGATGGATAGGCAGTTCCTCAGAAAATCTCAATTGGCCAATAAAGTTATATAAAATATCCAATCTTGCTAGTAATCATGAAAGTGTAAACAAACACAGCTAAGAGTTTTCCTCCATCAATGCTACTACCTCGTGTTGGTGAGAGTTCAGGAACATTTTGTTCTTGACAAGGCTAGTGTATTATAAACTGTAGGAGTGGCTATAGAGTTAAGCCTCAGATTGACCTGTGGCAGAGCCACAAACACGTCCAAGCTTAGAGGAAAGAGCCCTCTTAGCACAATTAAGCTTGACCTTATGGTCACCCCCCAGATCCTTCCTGGGTAGCTAATGGGCTGTGGGAGATGCAGCAAGTGCTGCCAAAACAAGTGAAACTCATAAGAACATTGTAACTATGGTGACCACTACCTTGTTTTACTCTATAAAATGAAGCCTCAGCTTACTGGCTGGATCCTTCTCTGTGGCCTCAGCCAGGCACAGGAGACCCACAGAGCCCCAGCTATTTTCTCTTTGTCTTTTCTTTAATCCTTTGCTGCCCTCCCCCACCCCCCATCAGGCTCACTGAATCCTTGGCTGTGCTGGTCCGACACAATAAACACTATTTAAAACATAGTAAGTTTTTCTAAGACAAATATAAATATTAAACTAATAAGAGTTAACAAGCATTCAACAACTCTCAAGGAGAACCAAAGGTAAAACCTTCAGTAGCTTAAGTTTTAAAGTCAATTTGTAATTATTAAGAATTTTTAAAAGTACATATCCTTTGACCCAGCAATTCCACTCCCAGGAAATAAGACCTGCATCTGTGCAAAAATTTATCAACAAGAATAATCCCTGTAGTGCAACTAACAATAATAAAACATTACAAATGACCTCAACATCTAAAGATTGGTGAAAAAAAGAAAACAAATACAAAAAAAATAAAATCGTAATATTACATGGCTATCCAAAAATTGTCAAAAACTGTAAGATGGAAAAAAGGCTCACTAAACATTAAGTAAAAATAGATCAAATAGAATCCCACTTTTATTTCTTACAGTCCATATGCATAAAAATATGAAAATGTTTGTAGTTATTACCAAGTATGAAGATGGATGATCCAAAGTGTTGGTATTACTGTATTTTCCCTTCCAATAAACATACATTATTTTTGTAATCTATACTAATAACAGACTAGGACCGTCACGACCAGACAGATGACCGGTCCAGGCGGGAGCTCTGTGCAGGCACACTAGACCCATCGCCAGGCACGGGAAAGCGGAGTCTGGGTGGGAGCTCCACGCATGTGCACTGGGCCCATCGCCAGGCACGGGAAAGCAGAGTCTGGGCGGGAGCAGCCCAAGCGCGTGTGGCCGGACAGCCTCGTGGGCCATGCAGATGGACAGACCGTGTTGGACGGCGCCGGTGGGCTGCGCAGAGGGCTGCAGGGGTACGCAGCTGTTAGGACACTGGCCCACAGGGTCAGCAAGGCTGGGGTGCCAGGTAGGCCCCAGGTCCTTGGGCGCCGCCGGGGGAGCGTGGCTGTCCAGAGTGGGAGAAAAAGCCCTTCTTTCCGGAAGAACTCGGATGGTTTAAATGTGCATAAACTGCGGCGGTACTGACATGGCTATGTCAGTTCCCCAAGCTGCCTGTCGGTGCCCAACCGCAGGCTTCACTATGGGGGATAGGCCCGGACGTGGGCCAGGCGTGGCCGTGGCAGTCGGACTCACCCCCGGCATTGCCTCAGCATCATGACTTCATGACATCACCCACAAGTGGCCATTGCTACTGGTCTGTGGGCCCCTGTGAGCCAGCACCGTGTGTGCTCGGGGCAGCATTGTGTTTCTGTTGAAAGGACACCGTATGTGATGGGTGCTGTTTATTCCTTAAGGTTGAAATGGGGCAGCCTGAACTTGCTTACGATGCAATCTTTTCTCCGTATTTTACTGCAGTCTTCTTGGGCTCAGGGAACCGGCAGCCACTGGAGCACCAGCTTGGCCATCCCACACAGCCAGACGCCACCAGGAAGCACAGAAATGCCAAAGGCCCAATGGAACCCGTCGCGAAACAGACCCCAGTTCACATACTGGAGCGGAAACAAGAAAACAGTGGCACCTGCTGTCCTCAGCTGGGACTGTGCCTGCGGGTCTGTCTGTAGGGTTCCTGCACCCTGGCCATGGCCCAATGGCTGAGGAAGCTCTGCAAGCCTTGATTCTGGAGTTACAGATCTTAGCAAGTAGGCAGGTGCACAAAGGTGGAGTTGAAAATAGCAAGGTTAGACTGTGTGTGCATTTATACACATATATGCCCATTTCCTCCAGTCTTTTTCTGAGCTGTTTGAGAGCATGCTCTACACGAGAGGATGCCCGGATACTCCCGTGTATTTCCCAAAAGCAGACACTCCTACATAACAATTCTCTACCCAACCACGTGAAGAAATCTCCATTCAAATGGTATTAAGGTTCAATCCACAGACCCCATTTGAATTCTGACAACTGTGTCAACAATGTTCCTCACTCCCCACCCCCAGGATCCCATCCACCTAGGATGGGTCCTGTCATTCCTGTCCCTGACAGTTTTTCAGTTTAATTAAAAATCATAGACTTTTGCCCTAACTGGTTTGGCTCAGTGGATAGAGCGTCAGCCTGCGGACTGAAGGGTCCTAGGTTCGATTCCGGTCAAGGGCATATACCTTGGTTGTGGGCACATCCTCGGTAGGGAGTGTGCAGGAGGCAGCTGAATTGATGTTTCTCTCTCATCGATGTTTCTAACTCTCTATCCCTTTCTCTTTCTCTCTGTAAAAAATCAGTAAAATATATTTTTAAAAAATCAGACTTTTGCCCTTAAAAAAAATTAATAAAAGATCCACTGGCACTCCCAAGTTAGGAGCCAGCAGTCCTGGATTGTGCGAGGGATGTCCGGACATCCCCTGAGGGTTCCCAGATTGGAGAGGGTGCAGGCCGGGGTGAGGGACAACCCCCCCCCCCCCCCCCCTGTGCACGAATCTCGTGCACCAGGCCACTAGTTTAAAAAATAAAAGGAGAGGGAGGTTTGGGAGTAAATTTGACAAATCAATTATAAAATATTGGATCCCTGGTAAAGTATTTTACTCCAAGATTGCCATCCTTAAACCTTAGTAACTACTGCTACCAAGTCACTGCAGCAGCAGTGCTGCTGGGCATCACAACTTTCAAGGAGGTTTGAAAGGGGGGAACTACATTGGCAAGGTTAGCACTTTCAACTGCTGTAGTAACCACACTTCCCAGTCTTAGCTCTACAACGTTCTGTGCTGTCTCCTTATCTGTTAAATGTGATATATGTATCTTGCTCATAGGAATGTCAAGGTTTAAATGAATTGTTTCATAAATAACAGAACCTGATACATAGCAAGCTTTGTAAGCACTAGTTATTTTCTCCAAAACTGAATTGTTGGATGGTGCCCTACTTGGTTACAGAAATAAATTTCTTGGAGAGAAAGAAGTAAACTCTTAGGATAATGTAAACTCTTTGCCCATCAATGCAAAAATAGATTACTTTTTCCTATTATAGGTCATTTATTGATTACTACCATTACTTAAAGTTCTAGTAACAGGTTTCCTGCCATCCTTTTAAGGAGACTAGTTGTATGGGGGAAGTTTACATTCCACTCTTATACAAGACCACAGAACCATTAGCAAAACAGTCACGTAATCATATATATATACAGTGACTTAAGTTTATATAAACTAGTTTTTCCTGAGAAATGTAGAAACTTAATGTACCCAAACTATACTAATTGCCAGAAACTAGACACTTTTCATTTTTAGCGTTTTGAAATCCTCATTGTCTTATAAATACAAAATGAAATTGACAAGGAGAACAGATTTCTGGTCATTTTAATTTGTAAAACAAATTACAAGCTTTATGGGCAGAACTGAAGGTAAAACCTTCAGCTGCTTACATTTTGTTCATGACAAGGCCAGTGTATAAACACTACTCAAGAACATAATAAGTTTTTCCAAGACAATAATAAATATTAAAGAGTTAATAAACATTCAACAACTCTCAAACAGATAGTCATCAAAAAAAGGCAAGTCTAATGTGTCATTTGCTAAAGAATTTAATGCTGAAGTGGAAAAAAACTCATCAAAAACATCAGTCTTCAGGGAACTTTCCAAGTTCAATGTTTTATCACACTCATTATTTGTTAGTGGGTCTGGCTGAACTTGGCACAGATTTTTCTTGGCAGGGCTGCAATAATTATGGTCCTGTCTCAAGAGTGTGTTTGGGGGAATACCATTTAATTCACTAGGTACTGGTGCTGGGATACGGTTATCTCCCATTTCTAAATATCTAAAGTCAGCCTCCCTATTTTCTGAGAGTTCTGAACAAACAGTTGTAGGAGACAATAATTCTGCTAAAATTTCTTCATGAGTTTGACCACTATATGGAGAAACACTAGCAACAGTGGTTCTTCCAGATTTATTATCAGCAATATCAATTTGATATTGCAGTTCTTTTAACACATCTTCTATTGACTGGCCATCATTTGGAGACCCATGGCCATCATTTGGAGACACACAATGAGAAACGTGCTCTAAATTTTCACTTGGAAGTTTTCCATGTTGGGGGGAAGACATAAGAGCAGCTAATTTCTTCTTTTTTGCCTTAAGTTTTTTCAGAAGTTTTAGACGAAGTTTATGAATCTGACCCTCAACGGAGTCTTCATGGTTTGCTAAAGAAACACCATTTTCGTTTCCACCAGATCTGTGGTTGAGGTGAACCCCATATGAGGAATTTTCATGTTTCTTCAAAACTTCCAGGTCAGCATTAACATCAGCATGTGGAGGAGCCATGCTACCTGATGATGGAAGACTTGGTGGAGGGTTATTGGCTGGAGAAGGCTTACTTGCGCACCTACGAGGTTTCTTGGGTGCCCGGTGAGCCTTCTGCTTCACCCCTTTAGTTTTATAGCCACCAAAATTACGTGCCCCCTTAACCGAATGCTGCAAGTCAGTTATAGCGTTAATATTATGAGCTGAAACACAAGGTGGCAAAAAAGAAGCACCCTTGCTTAATAAGCCTTTAACCCAACTTCCCATAAATGGTTTCTTCAGATTTTCTTTCAGAGATGGGTTCTGTGATGACTCAGCTATGGTTTGAGAAAATTTTCTCTCCAAATTAGATACCTGAGGTGTAATGTGTTTTTCTATTTTTAATTTCTCGGTTTTTGGTGAAAGAAAATGGTTGGACGAAACATCCTTCTCTAGGGCAACTGTACCTTCAATTTCTACTGACTTTACTCCCTGTATAGGACCAGTAGCATGAATATTAGTCACAGAGTTAGTAATTATAGTATTTTCTGAATTTGGCTGTACTGATTGCATATTTGTACTTACAATCGGAGAAGGAAAGCTTAAGTCTACAAATTGGTCTTGGGTAAACTTTTCCTTACATGGAGCTGATACTAAAGAAGCCATTAGTGACTCTTGCTGTTGTAAAGTATTTGTTTTGATGACCACTCCATTTTCTGCCACAGGTATATTTTCTAATAGGAAACCTTCAGAGTTAACCTGTACTTTTTCAAGTGTCAAAGGTATAATATCATTGCCAATCAAACCTTTTGGAACTGAAAGTAAATGAGGCTGATGAGCTACAGCTTTATCCTGGGAAAGAGTATTAGTAGTAACTGATGTATTTGGGGGGTACGTTTCTGAAGGTATTTCAGCTGAGGAAGCATCACCCATAAAACGCAATGCTGGAGGTGGCTGTTTCTCATCACTGAAACCATGTTGATCATTAGTCTTTTGAAGTGAAAGACAGGCAGATGCTTTATCTGTCATTTGGGCTGTTTTTCTTTCCCAAATAACAATATGTATCTCTGAAGCAGGAACTTCAAATTTCTTAAACCTTTTACAACATGGGCCTTTTAGGTCATCACATTCCAGCCAACTTCCTGGGGAATGAGGGAGAAAGTGAAAGAGATCAAACATTTAAAACCACCACCCTAGGTTAACTTTCTTCTGGCCACTGAAACTGCTATATCATTGAATATCCACTGAAGAGAATAATAGAAATCATGACCATATCCTCATGTCACCATTATTTTCTGCCAAATCTTAAAGTCCTTACTGGATAATGAAAGTTATGGACTAACATCCAGAAATTTGAAAAAGAATTTTTACTCTTTCTTGAAATGCAAAAGTCAAGATAGACAAATATTTAACTTTTGGAACTTAGAATACAGTATCACCTAATTTATCCAACAACATCAGAAAACAGATTTTTCCCATATATATGAGTCCTCAAGATAAATGAAGCTGCTACCTCAAGTACCAACATTTGTTCCAATTCTTATTTTCTCTTTTATTTTTTGGTTAAAAAAATAAAGCTTAGGAAGTTAGGTGTCTACTTTTTATTTCTGAACCTAAGTTTTCTCATTTGTCAAGAGGGAATGGGATGATGAATACAAGAGAAGAGGTTAACCCCTTCAACACACAAATCCACCCCAAACAAAACCATTCACCAAGTTTATGTGAATACTAATACACCCTCATAAACTACCTGAACACACTGCTTCGCAATCTATACCCATTAAAACTTTGAGAATCTTTTGTTTGCCTTGGTCAGTGGTTCCCCACCACATGTGCACATAAGAAACACCTGATTAATATTTGGGCCCAATCCCAAGACAGATCATTGGTCTAGGGCAGTGGTCAGCATACTGCGGCTCGCGAGCCACATGTGGCTCTTTGGCCCCTTGAGTGTGGCTCTTCCACAAAATACCGACTTCTGCTCATGGGCCACGAAGTTTCAATCTCACTGTACATGTGCGCCCGCATGTGGTATTTTGTGGAAGAGCCACACTCAAGGGGCCAAAGAGCCACATGTGGCTCGCGAGCCGCAGTATGCTGACCACTGCCCTAGACCAATGATCTGTCTTGGGATTGGGCCCAAATATTAATCAGGTGTTTCTTATGTGCACATGTGGTGGGGAACCACTGACCAAGGCAAACAAAAGATTCTCAAAGTTTTAATGGGTATAGATTGCGAAGCAGTGTGTTCAGGTAGTTTATGAGCCAGTGGTCGGCAAACTCATTAGTCAACAGAGCCAAATATCAACAGTACAACGATTGAAATTTCTTTTGAGAGCCAAATTTTTTAAATTTAAACTATATAGGTAGGTACATTGTTAATAACTTAATTAGGGTACTCCTAAGGCTTAGGAAGAGCCATACTCAAGGGGCCAAAGAGCCGCATGTGGCTGGCGAGCCGCTGTTTGCCGACCACGGGTCTAGGGGAGAACCAGGACATTTTTAATAAGCTAACCATGATTTTTATATGCTGCCAAGGATGGAAACCATTTAACCTCTTTTACCTAAAGAGGATTTTTCCTTCCCTGGAATACATTAAAAAATTGAAATAAATGGTTTTTTTAGTTTTTGTTTGCTATTGAGAACAACTTACCCCAAATTCCGAAGTAGGGTAAAACTTTAAGGTAATTAATTACATTGATAATGCAAGTCTTAGTTTGCAAAGTACTTTTATAACACATTATAGTCTCACCCATCCAAACCATCCCAGAAGAAAAATATCAAATATAAACAATATTAAAACAATAAAAAATAGAAAAATAAAAAATATCAATGGCCCGATAGAACACTTTAAGGGAACTGAGTTGTCTTGCCTAAGACAAAGTGAACATTGTGAGGGAAAAAACTCAAGAGTAAACTACATTAGATAAATGAAAGGGGAAAATTAGCAAAATCCATGAGTTGTACTATTTATCCTTCTATTAAAAAGTTTAATTATTTAAGTAAAGGCTTTACCTTGACTGAAACTGTTCAGCAAACTATTTCACAGTGAGAGAAGGCTACATAGTTTGTAAGGTCTAATAGTTTCAGAAATAGATGTTTACTTTTATTTATATTACTAACAATTATAAAGTAAGTGAAATCTGTTCTTTTCGTTCATTCTCAATTAAAAACCTTTAGTTGCACTTTCTTTACAAATACAAGGTTATATACCAAAAAAATCAAATTACCACCATTCATTTTTCTATACTGAACATATATATTACTCATATAATAAAAAAATAACAAAAATAAAGATATTAAGTGGAAAATAGCAAACTGTAAACCACTGGTAGTATATGATCTCATTGTCTAAAAAAGAAACATGCTTATGCATGTGTGTGCACATAAATATGCTGACATAAGCAAAGGAAAAGTTAGGAGTAGTTCTAAACCATAGTGACAGGGTATAGGAAAGAGCAGAAAAATAAAGGCAAGGGCAAGAAGAAAGAAAGAAGAGTCAAAGCAAAGTTTGTCTTTTAATAGAGTTTAGACTCTATACATATCATAAAATAAAAACTTTTTAACACTTACCATCAGCACACAATAGAGTTTAGTCTCTATGCATCTATATATGTATAAAAGCCCAGCAACCGGAATGGCAGAACGACCAGAACGACCGGTGGCTATGACACGCACTGTAGCAGCCAACCAGCCTGATCCAGACCCTGATCAGCCTTATCCCCGGCTGGCCTGGCCCCCGATCAGCCCCCGAAACCCCCGATTGGGGGCGGGACCGGCCCACCAACCACCCATGGCCCCTCCGCCCAGCCGGCCTAACCCAATTGGGGCAGGCGGGCCGGACCCCATCTGTGCACGAATTTGTGCACTGGGCCTCTAGTATTATCATAAAAGAAATTTTGAACACTTACCATCAACACATAAAATCCATGTTATAAAATGATTATTTGCATAGTACTGAATTACAGAAGTTATTTGGTAAAGATAGCCTTCAAAAAGAAATGAGTAGTGTTCCAAGTCGTTATGTGGTAAGCCTTCTACAAAGTGCAACATGAATATGGGAGACACTCTGTGGGAGAGAAAGGCAAGAGAGATCAAACAATGTACCTGGTAATACAGTGGTTCTCAACCTTCCCTAATGCCGCGACCCTTTAATACAGTTCCTCATGTTGTGGTGACCCCCAACCATAAAATTATTTTCGTTGCTACTTCATAACTGTAATTTTGCTACTGTTATGAATCGTAATGTAAATATCTGATATGCAGGATGTATTTTTATTGTTACAAATTGAATTAAAGCATAGTGATTAATCACAAAAACAATATGTAATTATATATGTGTTTTCCGATGGTCTTAAGCGACCCCTATGAAAGGGTCATTCGACCCCCAAAGGGGTCTCGACCCACAGGTTGAGAACCACTGTGGTAATACAAAAGATGGTCTGGTGTTAGTGAGTCACACAGTGCTTTCAAGGCAAACCACACTAATTCTTCTTGAGCCTTAATTAAAATTGGAGAACTCTCTTTTTCACAGGCACGTAGTATCCCATTGTGTAAAAAAAAAAAAAAAAAAAGGAGAACTCACTCTAAGACATGGGTAATGTTTAAACCCATCTCAGAATGGGATCACTGACAGTTGGAAGCTATCATGCAATAAGACCACAGACCATTAAACAAAAATTGCTCAGTAAACCACAGTGCTGCTTCAGCTTAAAGATCTCTTGGGCCCTGGCCAGTGTGGCTCAGTTGATTGGGCATAGTCCTGTGCATCAAAAAGTTGCCGGTTCGATTCCCAGTCAGGGTACATGCCCAGGCTACAGGCTCGATCCTGGTAGAAGACGACAATGGAGGAAGAGAAGGAGTGAGGCCAGGGAGGGAAGACGAGGAAGAAGGTGGAGGAGGAAGGAGAAGGAAGAAGAGGAAGAAGAGGAAGAAGAGGAGGCAGAAGAGGAAGAAGAGGAGGAGGAGGAGGAAGAGGAAGAAGAGGAGGAGGAAGAAGAGGAGGAGGAAGAAGAAGAGGAAAAAGAAAAGAAGGGAGAAGGAGAAGAAGAAGATGATCTATTGGTAACTACTTTGTAGAATCAAAGGAAAAATCCAGACCTATTGGAATTTTCTTGGCATCAAGTACCCAAATAACTGCTTTTGTTAGAGGGGATAGGTAATATGTAAAACAAAGTAACAAGCCCAAGATGTTCAAATAAACATTTAAAAACCCCAACATGCTAACATCTTCGTTATCTCAGGAAGTAGAGAGGCCCATGAAATTAAAATCTCTATTTAGGAAAAGTTTAATTTATAACTAAGTAGAAGAAAATACAACATACTGGTTAATCTACTATAAACTTCAAGATATGCATAACTTCAAAAATACATCATTACAAAAACATGGCTAGCCAGAAAAGAGAACTCAAGATGAGCCTTAAATAACTAAATTTAACAAAGCTCTCAGGATTTAAGAAAAGTTTAAGGAATATTTAAACAGCTGTCAAAACGTAGTTTGTAAAAATTTTTCAGTTGAAAATGTACTTGAATCAATGTCTAAAATACCGGTTATTCAGACTGACAAGGACAATTTGTAAATTATCTGTTGTCAATCATTGTTAGAAAATAATGAAATCTCCAAAATTTAAGTACCTACAAATAAAAAGTCCTGCAAAACTATCCGTAACGCTCAACTCCCAATGACCTATTTCATCAATCTAAGATGCCACAGATTGTAAAATGTACCACTATAAAATAATACTGCAATTAAATTATACAATTTAGATGTATTCCCATTTCAAGTATGTTAAAATATGAAGAGTGTATCTTTGAATCAACCATCCACAGTAAAACTAAAGATATATTCTCAGAGTTGGAAAGGCAGGCTATAGGCACCTGCCTGACTCTGTAAGTACTAATATTTAGTTCTCTCTTGGTCTTATGATACTTTTTCAAGCTATCTTCTGAGGCTAGTTACTAATGTTGATCCCTAGATTTCGCAATCTCAGTAGTGTGAGTTTACACATGGAAAATGTTAAATAGGCAGCATTTCTTAATGGCATATTTAAAAAACAGTACAACTTATAAATGATGGCATCTTGGAGTCAATAAAATAAAGCATATGCCTCCTCCCCTTTTTCCAGTTTATTTTCCTTGTGGTTCCATTGAAATTTAAGTAAATATGCTTTTCAGATGACAATCCAGGATAGTGTATGACCAGACTCCTAAAGATTGTGGCAGTAATGAAAATGAGATGGTCATTTCAAGAGTTGGTGAAGCTGTGGCCTATGGCTCAGTGGTTAGAGCGTCAGGCCACAGACAAAAAGTTTCGGGTTTGCCCTAACCCAGTGGTCGGCAAACTCAGTCAACAGAGCCAAATAGCAACAGTACAACGATTGAAATTTCTTTTGAGAGCCAAATTTTTAAAACTTAAACTATATAGGTAGGTACATTGTTATTAACTTAACTAGAGGCCCGGTGCACAAAAATTTATGCACTTGCGGGGGGGGGGGGTTCCTCAGCCCGGCCTGTGCCCTCTCGCAGAATGGGACCCCTTGGGGGATGACCACCTGTTGGCTTAGGCCCTCTCCCTGGGGGACTGGGCTTAAGCTGGCCGACCTGACCACCAGAGGGCAGCTCCTGCATTGAGAGTCTGCCCCCTGGTGGTCAGTGTGTGTCATAGTGACCAGTCATTCCCAGTTGTTCTGCTGTTAGGGTCAATTTGCATATTACCCTTTTATTATATAGGAGTGCCTGGCCAGCCTGGGTGAGGGGCTGATGGCTGTTTTCAGGCTGGCCACAGCCCCCAGCCACCCAAGCTCCCTGTGGAGGCTGGCTAGAAGCAGATACCTGGGATTTATTTTTCTTCTATAATTGAAACTCTGTTGCCATGAGCGGAGGCCACAGCCGGCTCAGAGCAGGCGGGAAGCTTGGCTTCCTCCATCGCCCGGGCAACCAAGCCTCCTGTTTGCTCCAGCTCTGTGGCTGCCTGCCGCCATCTTGTTTGGGTTAATTTGCATATAGTCGCTCTGATCGGGTGTGGCTTACGGCGTAGCGAAGGTATGGTCAATTAGCATCTTTGTCTTTTATTAGTGTAGATTAGGGTACTCCTAAGCTGGACTTTGCTAAAAACGTCCTCAGTCTGATTGAGGTAAGTTCGCTGAGGTCGACCCCTTCCAACTCTCCCATCCACACTCCTCTTGTATACTTGTTTCAGATAGATGAGTGTGGATGGGAGAGTTGGAAGGGGT